CAGCCACACTGTCCTGGGGAGCAGCAGCCCAGAACGCTCACGATGCTGGAAGGAAATGACTCCACTCTCCAGCACTCGAGAAGCAGCGCTGCCCGGTCGGAAGAGGAAGCGACAGACCCCGCACCTAACCCCAGCCGCCGTCCCGCCACCACCGGCAAACACAACCACTCCAAACCCCACGCTGGCAAAGCCAGGCTCTGCGTGAAGACACTGAAGAGCTTCTAAAAATAATGGTACTTCCCCTTACTACCACTGCGTTTGAGTCGGCACAGGCCCGTGAACAGAGCCAAGGGACTCCCCAAGTGCGGGGAGGACGCCAGGCACGTGGGGCTGCTCTGATAAGACATCTGGGATCGCTCCTCCGGCCGCTGCAGACAAACCTGCTCAGGCCCCAGCACGAGGCGGTGACGCCAGCGCCCACCCAGCGCTTCCCTGCCTGCCCGACGAGATAAGGACGCAGCAAACACCAGACCCAGAGACGGACCCAGAGGCACCGCTGCTCCCCGATCTGCGCGGGGCTCCTTCCATCTGCGGCTGTGAAACAGCCGGGTCTGCGCCATTTACACAACGCTTGATTTCCAGGACGTTCATACACCAGGCAAATTCTTCTCGAAGTCGTACCTCCCGAGTCAAACACACTCGGAAGGGTCACCTCTGCAGACCCCCCAGCAGTGCGACACTGGGGTAAATCACCCCTGCAGCCATGATCGAGCCGGGGGCAACCGGCTCCCCTCAGCCCTCCTGTTTGCGGGAGGCTTTTCTCTGTGTGTCCTTACAGACAGCTCTGAACGTAGGGATCAGCAAATTCCTCTGCAGCTGGAACAGCACAAATGTCAGAGTTTGTTCCTTCTCGGGCTCTTTGAGCCTCTCCTTTGGCTGCGCACGCTGCAGCACCTCCAGTAGCTCTGTCTGCAAACAGCAAGTGAAACCCAATGAACCTGGACCTCCAAAACACGCTCATTAACTAGCAATTAACCAGACCTGAGCCAACAGAAGCAGCTGCCCACTCCCTGCACAGTGAGGTGCGTTCGCTGCCAGGCGTGCTCTGCCGACACAAGCCCAACACAGGTTTAAACAGAAAATGAACGACCAGGATTTCTCGGTGACAACCTTCAGCTCCTGCGCCGCTTCCTCCAGCCCGTCCGCGTGCTCAGCGGGAGCGTTATCAAGAGTTTTATCCTCACACTCCAACACAAGCTGCGAGATCTACCAGCACGGCCGGCCCTCGCCTGACCAGTCAGACCGACGGCGAGGGCGGCAGGACAAAGCCTCATCAGCCGTCGCACTACGCTCACTGCCAAGCTCTTGGGTGACTTTTAAAATTCAACAGGCTTCTAACAGAAAGCAACGGCTCCTTCCGATGAGACGCTGCGAAAAGTTCCAGGACAACCAGAGCCCGGCAGGATCCTCGGAACC